CAACCAAATTCAAAAATTTCTTCGCCCAAATGCTTCAAATAAAGTCTAGATTCGTTTTAGCGAAAAAAAAATTTGGGGGTTAGGTGCACTTTAAGAATTGTCAGCAGGTTCCATACTACATTGATTTTCCTTTGAGAATTCGGTGTCAGCAGAAATGGAAAAAAACTTCATATTATTCAAATTGACTACAGAATGTCTTAGGGACACAGAGCAGCCATTGGTGGTGACGTGTAACACTACAGAGGTTTGCATCTTACTGGATCTGATCCAAGAGCAGGAATCTCAGCAGGAGAACCCAGATCCTGTTCTGCAGAAACAATGGTGTCCAAGCCTTGACTCAGACTACTCATGTACGCCTTCTGTGCAGGAGTAAGACTGTGAAGCTTAGCTTGTGAGCCCTGTAAACAATAATACCACATCAGTAGTCAAGATGAGAGGAGTGGTTAATAATGGTAACGACTGATTGTAGTCCAATTTGGTCTGCAATCATCTATTAAGAAATACACAATTTTAAGAAGACATCCATGGAGTGACAGTCCTGTTCATTTAATCCTGAGCATGATAACAGACTGAATCGGACTACATAATGTCTTGTCACCTATCAATCATAACTATGACAAAATTTGAGAAGTAAAAGTTGAAAAATTTAACTTTTTGGAAAATGAAAGTAGTTGAATTGTCTAAGATCCATGAGAGATGAAACACAATCAAGTGCTACTGTCCAATGTAAACTACTCAATCAACACTCAATCAGGCATAATATATACACTGTCCAGCAAACACCAAGAAGGATGCATAAACTGTCCCATAACACCACGTATATGTGACACGTTCAAAATATAGGGGCTGCTGATAACCAATCAGATTCAAGAACTTTGTTGTCCCTAAGTAAACCACAAGGCAGTAAAAACTTTAATTATTTCACCAGAAAGCTCTATATTTCATATAATTTTAACTTCTGGATAATTGCTTCTCACCATGGGAGGCCTATGAGCAGAGTGTGCAGATCCTGTAACTGTCCCATACTGGGCTGGCTCCATCTTACCCACACTGTATCTAGATGCCCCTGAAAAAACATTGCAACAGTGAACCAGTGGTCTACTTACATAAACTTTTAATACAGAACAATTAGGCAGGGCCTTGGTCCTTCGCTAAATGTGCTTTGCAGAACAGTCAGAAAATTTGTGTTCATGTAAATATAGCACATGTATTGTATTGTTCATATTATGTGTAACTCAAATTTGCAATTTAAAGAGATGTCCAAAAATTTTAGCAAAGATGCTCAGCTTCTACATTTTACATAACATGTATGATGCTTTATATACCTGGACCTCCAGCTCTCATCACCGCTGGCAAAGCTACTGAGCCAGTAGCAGCATGGCCAACCTTGTTTGTTTGACGCTCCAAGTATGTACCTCTGAATGAAACAAAAAAACAGAGACATTAAATTTACAATATTTGGAGCATAATTTATTTACACCTTGTTGTGAAGCAATCTGCCATTTGTACATTTACAATTTGAAACTTACTAATTTAATCCCTCTTCACCCTAGTACGACAGAAGGCAGCAACAATTTCCCTTGTATTTTCTGGAGCATGTTGTGCCTCATTCTGTGTGAGTTTTACCCCACTGAGCTGAGCCATGACAGTTCAGCACCAGGTGGTTTTTGGCCAACAAGGTTTCATTTATAATGGAATAGATTCAGTAATTCAGGGAAAATTTGAAAACATCAAGCTTGAAAATTTAATATAGGCTGCAGTTCTAGTCTATGCTTACTTTGATGGAGTCACAGAATCCTCTACCATTGTTGATTCCTCGTCAAAGTCAGGATCATAACCATCTTGGCCCTTTCTCTGTGGGTAAGGGAAAAAAGCACAAGCCCTTAAAAACAATGTAGTAAAACAAAATTTTGAAAAGGTGTCTTTCAGTTGTTTATGCATTAATGCTTGAAGGGGTGGTCACCCAGTCAAAATATCCAAACGTTCTGTCAATTTAGGTGTTGAAACTGTCATAAACTGATAATTTACATTACAGACAAGTACATATGCCCAGCAGCTTCAAAGTACCAAATTTGTCAGGTAACCTTTACAACTCTTATCATATCGGTGGTACACAATTATATTTTATTATCATTGCAATCATTAACCAGACCTTAATAATGTGGAAAGTATAGACATAGTGGTCTGCGGTGTTCTCATTTATCATTTTAAATTACCTTTTTCAAAATAATATCTATGTAGCCAGCAATGAGCTGAGATATTTTCTCTCCTTCATTTGTTTGTACTGAATAATAAGACTCCAGGTAATCACCAAAATCCTGTTGAAAGGAAGTACAAGTACATTTACTGGCAGGTAAGAATTCGCATGCAAACATATGAAGTCTGAAGGCATTGATAAAAAACATACCACTAAAAACTTTCAGTTCCTGTACTAACAAATTCCATTAGAAGAATAGGTACCAGTGGACTCAACATCTCTATTGCAAAAGGATGTTAATTGTAATTCTGTATAGACCAACAGTAACTTCAATCTAATCTTTTAACACAGCATTAAAATGTTACTATTTTCATGAAAGCACGGCAAATAAAAATAATTATATAACATCATTTCTTTTACTTTTACTTCACCAACTTGTAAATTGTAGAACTACAAAATTATTTTATCTGTCCTTCTTCCATGGTAAATTACACTTTACAGTTTTTCAACAAATCCCACAATCAAAACAAATCAGTTTACTAAAGGTTTAAATAGAGTTTCTCACAAAGCAGTTAGTTGAAGTTANTTTTTTCGCAGAACTATTTCAAATAACAAGGAGATTCATTTTAGCGAAAAAAAATTTTTGGGGTTAGGTGCACTTTAATTATCACATATAGCAAATTTGGAAACAAATCGAAAGAATCTTGAAAGGCAAGTGACAGGCAAGAGATAAGTAACAAACTGGTAATTACAGGATTTGGTTTAAGTACACAACTTAACAGGTAATGGTTTGAATACAAACCTCTTTAGTTTTCTCATCAACTCTAAGGATGCTCTCTTTTGTGACACCCAAGAGCCTGGGAACTAGTTTATTCTTTCCTTTCATTTTTTCCTGCAAGAAAGAAAGCATATTAAATAAATATTAAACCAACAGACAAACAAACAGATGATAATATACTGATAAAATAAGCTGACAAATTAAACGACCATTTCACCTGTACATGAGCTGATTACATTTAGTAGAACACTACTACATGTAGTGTACTGATGCAAATGCTGTTATCTGATTGGCTGAGCCGTTGCACACTAACAGCCATTAGTAGAATTTACTAGTATACTGATGCAAATGCTGTAATCTGATTGGCTGAGTCATTGCACTCTATCAGCCATTAGTAGAATTCTACTAGTATACTGATGCAAATGCTGTTATCTGATTGCCTGAGCCGTTGCACACTCTCAGTCATAAGTAGAATTCTACTAGTATACTAATGCAAATGCTGTAATCTGATTGGCTGAGCCATTGCATACTATCAGCCATTAGTGGGCAGTGGCTTGGTGTGGTCGACAAAACTGCAACGTTTCCTTGCTTCACCAAAGTTTTAAAAGAACACTTACAACCAAATGGATAATCAAATTCCTGAGAAGACTAAAAGGTGGGCAAATGAATAAACAAAATTCCTGAGTACTTAAAGGAGGGCATTTATGTTTTCTTGAAAAAGCTCAACATTTTTTAAAGAAACTGATACAGCTGTAAGGGCACGTACACAACTGCAAATGTCAACTTGACAATTAATTCAGTCTGCGCAAATTCTCTAAAGCGTGAACTTTGATACTAAGACCAGAAATAATTGGGATCATATTTTGAAGGAAATTCAGTTAGAGTTCTACTAAAACAATTAGATTGGTCGCTCTCAATTTCTATGAGGTAATGGTTGATTTGGTCTTCAGCCTCATCAACTATTGCCTTGTAGAAATCTTCAGCTCATAATCTAATTGTTAAGTATAAACAAACCAACAAATGAACCAGCCAGTGACACAAGAAACAAACAACAATGAACCACCAAACAGGCAAACCAATGGATCGACGAACAAGCTAACCAGGAAACTGACAAACAACCATAAAACCTCACCTATGAACCAACAACAACAAAACTACATAACTAACCAGAGCATGAATCCCCAACACACCAACGAACACAGCAACAAGCACACCAACCAACAACTGATCAATACAATCAACTAACAAACAAACTATATCATTTGTTTAAAACATACATTCAAGTAGAAAGTCTGCATTTTGCACTGACATTACATAACTTTCAGTCCCACTGCAAAGGAAGTTGCAACCAGCATACAAAGAAAGTCATGTCTGATAGAGCAGAGTGAGTGGATTTTGCAGCTAGGCAGGTGGAATCTACCCTTCGCTTGCCCAATGGGCAAGTGAGGTTGTTAGGGGAAATATCTTAAATTAATTAATGCTTCTAAGAAATATGGGGGGCTGGTGAGAATGACTTTTGGGTTAGTTCATAATAGTTACTGCTTGCCCAAAGGGCAAGTTTGAAAACAGGTTTTCTTTAAATGATGGCAACTAATGTGGTAAATCCATGTACATGTACTGCATGGAAAAAAGAGGCTCTGATGAGAATGTACTGTGAAAAACTCTAGAAATTTGCATGAAGGACTGCCACCAGTCTTGTTATGGCCTGAAATGTGAACTTGCCTTTACAAGAAAAAATGTGACTCCATAGGTCTTTAACCCTCTGCACAACTGCACATACTTGTACTTGCCCTGTAATTCATCATGTCCAGAAACTTTCCTGTGTTCCTACACAATAATGAAAAGATAAACAATGTGTAAAGCTGCAAAAAGACCTACATGACTGGGCTAAAAAAAAAAATTGAATTTCAGCTTGCCCTTGGGACAAGTTGCTTTCCAATTTGCTTGCCCTGGGCAAGTCTTAGTTTGCTGTTTTAATGATTAAGTTGGCAGAAGACTTGCCTGATCCTTTGTCCATCAGGCAAGTGAGAATGAAAAGTTACATGCCCAGAAGGAAACTCTAGTTGTCCCGGACAACTGGAGCAAGGTAAGGTGCATGCACTTATAATGTTATGTTTCATATTTAATATGACCTTGTACATGTCACCACTACACAGTGGATTTACGGAAATATCTCACCTCTTTAATTTTCTTCTCAATATTCTTCGATTTGACATATTCCTTGGGAAGAAATTCTTTTAAGCTAACACAAGGAAAGCACAACAACTCCATGTTACTGACAGCAATATACAGTGCATGTGCAATGATAAGAATAGATTGTCAAGAGTCTCTACTGGTAAACAAAGCACTGAACTTACTCTATAAACTTGTATTTGCCTTCTTCAAAATCACCAAACTGGACCTGAATCTGAATAGCTCCGAGCTGAGGAGAAAATGAATTAAATGCCAAGATCAGTTTGGGCCCTACAAAGTAGAACAAAAGTGGACCAAACTGAGTTGACTAATGGAATTTTTATTAGATATCAACTTCAAGTGAGAAAACAAGAGTTGACTATCATGGAGGCTCTATCTAAATACTTTCATGATACACATACCTGTGATGCCTCCTCCTGTGTACATGGATGCGTTCCATCTAAAATACCATCTCTACACTGAGCAGGGAGAAAAAAATTATTATGGAAAATGCTTTACTCAATTATCTAGCTCCACCCACATGTACAGTTATTCTGTAAGTTGACGGATTGACTGACTGACCGACTGACTGATTGATTGATTGACTGATTGATTACATGTAAAAGAATTCATGACAGAACGACTGGACAACTGGATGACTAGAAGACCAGAAGACCGCAAGACCGGATGACCGAATGATTGGATGACCAGACAACCGGATGACTGAACGACCAGACAGCCAGACAGCCGGACGGCTGGATGACCAGCCAACTGGACCACTAGACCACTGGATGACTCAACGACTGGATGACTAAACCACCAGACGACTGGATGACTGAACAACTGGATTAAGCGACAACCAGAAGGTCCATTGTTGTACTGCACAAGTGCAGTATACATGATCAACTAATTGCTTGTTAATTTTCCAAGTAAAGCACTTTAACTGGACCTACCTGAACATACAACAAGCCGAGCTGGACTGGGTCCTTAATGTCAACATTTTGATCTGAGTAAAAGTACTTCCGTCTAGAAAAACATTCAAAGAAAGATCACTATAGACTAAACCAGTCTTCCAGTGCTCAGAATAACACTATTCACCTCTAAAATTATTATACATCTACTCAGTCTGAAGTCTACTATTTTTTACTTGGCTCTGATGATGGTAGAGAACAACAATGATTTGTAATGTTCAGTACAAATTATGGTTACCACTGTACTTGAGACATTCATTTGAAATTTAACCTGCTAAATGTAAGTACTGTAAATGTTTTACATGCGGTGGAAAAATCAACTCTTTTGCAACATACAATATTTCAAAAATTAAATACCTCAAAAGAACAGTGCATGTATCATCAACTCCTTGCTCTCGAAGAGTTTTGTCATGTCCAAGCCAGTGAACTTAAAAAAAAAAAGATATGCAGACCTACATTAAGTCAAGTATTTGAGATTAGAAACCACCCTGTACAAAAGCGTGCAGTGCAAGATTGAATCTCAATAGACATAGAACTAGAACAAACTAGTGGTCCACGTAATGACAAAGTTTTCTCATTTAGACTCTGGCATTTGAGAGGGCAATTAAGGAACATTACCAGATGATTCAATTTCCAGGAAGGCTAAAGAAAGGAAATTAACCATTTTGCCACTTAAAAGCCTCAACTCAAAATACATGTAGCTACAATTTTCAGACAACTCAATCCCTGAGTGATTTTGCTAAAGCATGAAGTTTAATAAGTACTAACAGTATATACAACAAAATGAACAGCTTGCTACTTCCAGATCACCTATACCTACATGCATGGAGGATAGAAAAGTTGATTCTATCAAACTTTTTGTCAGGATAAAGGTCTTTATTAAGAAAACTTGTTTCAAAACTGTAACATTGCACAGGTTGTTTGGATTTCCATTTTCTTGTTGAGTCAGCCTTTCTTCAGCCTCATCACTTGCCTCATCAACTATCACTTCACACATTGTAAAAATCTCAAGCTAACTATACTGTGATTGTTAACTAGAAAACATGGAAAATTCTGTACAAGACCTGAAAATTGATTAATACATTTACAAATCAACGACATGTACTGTACATGTCAAGTTTAAAAATGGACCTGGTACAAATTATTATAATTTTACCTTCATCATCTGTGTGGAGTTTTCTCTTCAGCTGATCCATTTTTTTCTTGTCTCTTTCCTCCATCTTTTTCAAGGAGACATCTTTCACAGATTTGTCCTGTTTTTATAAGATATAAGTAGACAAAACACTTTTAGTAGTGTTTCCTCATTTATTTATTAAAACCTATTTTAGGACCTTGTTCACCACGAGTCTCAACCTGCATGTGTAGCTCAGGTTCTACCAATGTCTAGAAGGACATATCACAATGGATTTAACTCCCATTATGGAGTCCGAAATGTTCTGAGTTATTCAGCTTTAATTCACTTCATCTTCATTTATTGAAGCAAATGTTCATGAATGTATGTTCCTGATAGGGTTCATCTGTAGCTGTACATGTATCTTTAGAAAAGTAAATGAGCAGTCAAAGCTGCACATACAGGAAACATGGATGTACATGTATACATAACACAATAATGTTTTAAGACAACACACCCGCTTTATCGTTCCCATTTTATCTGCATCTTCTTTGTCTTCTTTTTGACCTTCAACAAGCAGTGAGAATTCCTCAGTATTTGCAATACCTACAGAAAAAAGAATGCAAGAACTTGTCAATCAAAATGACAATATACGACAGTATATTTATTTAAAGACTTTGGC